GAATAGAGGCCAAAGACGAGCTAAATATAGGTGTCAGTTAATATTTAAATATAATTATGTGATTTTACATACTCTAACTTTAACGAACTGCGAGCCGTTACGTATTATCGGATTCAACGCAGCATTTGATTGATCGCAGTTCGTTGAAACTAGAGTATGTAAAATCACATAGTTATATTTAAATATTAACTGACACCTATATTTTGCTTGTCTTTGGGCTCTTATCCTGACTATTGTTTATAATACGAGCTGGTAATTCATTTAGTTAACTATTTTTTATTGCAATTGTTAATTTCTAAAATTTGCAAAAGGTATAAAAATGTTTCATTCCCTATCCTGATTGAAAATGGACATGATACGGATATCAAATGGACATCCAATGGACCCCGTATGGGCGTCGAATGAGCACTATATAGATGCTGACGAACACCCCAAAAAAAAATTGTCTACTTATGAGCGAGAAATTTCTTTAAGCATTTCCTCTAAGCAAAAACATTTTACTTTAAGCATATTCCTTAGCTATCAAGCGTATTAATTTATAAAGAAGTGGACACATGCGCTATAATCAAGATAAATTCCTCTATAAAAATTTATTATAAAAATTTTTATTATAATAACTCGAATAGTCTCTTGAAATAAGAGGATATGCTTGATACTCGCGGCACGCTCATTTATAAGATTTTCCATTTAAAAAAAAATTTTTAATTTTTATTATTTATTATTAATTTATTATTATTATTAATTTTTTTATTTAAAAAAATATATTATTTTAATTCAAAAATTTTTTTCCATTAAAATAAATGAAAAATTTATTTATTTGAACAGTGAAACATAGTTATAAAAAAACAGTGAAGTTCTCGTTGTTTATAATTGTTAATTGTTATTGCTAAGTTTTGTTTAGTTGCTTTAAGTACCAAAATTGCCGAAAGCCTTCAGGTTGCCGTGAATAGTTATTAACATCACCAACATTATAAGGAATTCATCACGAAACATCAATTCTCGGGCGGTCACAAAGATGAAGCAACACTTGACCAGGTACATGGCTTGGATGGGTGACTGCTTTTAGAAAAAAAAAATAAATAAATATAATTAGTTTACTTGAGTAGAGTTATTGCAATCCTCATCCATTAAAATGAATGTGATCTTCTTAATGTCAGAAGAATCTCCTTTCAATTAAAAAAGCATTCTTTTTTTTTTCTTAATTAAAAGGAGATTCTTTTAAGTATTAAGAAAATTGCAATCTTAAATCCAACATTTCATAGTAATTCGATATTCCTCTACCTTTTGGAGTATCATCTTGAGACGATATACAAGAGGAAAATCCTCTAGCAGTAAGAAGGAGCCACTAAGAAATAGAACATTTTTTTGAGTGAAACATGAAGAGATCCGAAACATGTCCAAAGCACGTCTATTTCATGTTCAAATGTTTCCAAAATGCGCGCCCAATGGACGTCAAATGGGCGGTCATTGGTGCATCCATTGAGCGTCCTTTAGGCATCTATGAGACATGTCTAGGGCACAAAATGGGCGCCCATCCAAAGAGCTCAGGACGTCCTACGGACGCCCAACGGGCGTCCATGTGTCGTGTGGGATAAAAAGTACCGTCACTACTTCAGTTTCTATGCTGATTATCGCGTGACGTATGACATAAATACAAGTGCGAATGAAAATTTTCTGTGCAGATTTTGATTTTATAATAATAAGAACTAACGCGATATAAAAATAGAAGCTTATAAAAAATTATTAGTTTATTATTAATTATTTGTTAATTTTATTTTTTGTATTTAGCAAATAAAAAAATTGTTTCCTGATTTGTACATTGGAAATAATTAAAAATATTACTTACTTTCAATGATTGAAGAAATAAAAAATGTAAAATAAATAATTTTAAGAATATAGAATTACATAGGTTGTAATGTCTGTGTACGTGACTCGGAGATTACGCACTGACTGTTGGATCAAGTGGGTTAGTATAAGAGATTTATGACGCGTGGGAATGTGAGAATTGATTAATGTATTCAAAACACAAATGTATTTTTCCTTTTAGTACAGAAAGAAAATGACTCGAAAATTGTAACATACGAACTCTTCACTCTGCTGCTGCTACCATTCTTCTGTTGCTTCTTCTTCTCGAGCGCCACCTCACCGGATGGCGTCATCTCTGCACAGCGCCACTACCACGCTGGTCATTGACGACTTATGGCGGCGGCCTTCGAACGGGTCCTAGGGCTCTTCGCGTTACAAGGTTATATTTTTCTACCATGGCGATGATAAAATCATAGCGTTTTTTGATACTCTTGACCTAATAGTGAAATATACTTATATTTTCGACCTATAACTTGAATTTCCCTATTATGAAGATTAGATGCCTAAATATTTTTACTTTGTGAGCAAATTTACCTATTTAGGGCATTTCGACTTTTAAGTCAATTGATTTTCTTGACTAATAGATAATTTTGACCAATATCCGACTTCTAAGTCGGATATTGGTCAAAATATCCTTATTTTGGTTAAGTTGACTTTAAAGTTGAAATCGACGCGATTTGATATATATCGATCTATACTCTGCCGCGAATTCCCATAGGTATATTCCTATATGGATCATGTCCCATGGGAAATTGACCCAGGTGCCCCATAGGTAACCTACATGGGACTTATATGGGACCTTTATCTCAAGTAGAAAATAAACTAGA